AAGAAACAGAGAAGCCACATTTTGAGAGGTCGAATTGGGAGTCTTTATTAGAAGCTGGATACTGCAGTTGGACTTCTATCCCAGACACCTGCAGCCCCTCAAGTACACTTAACACTGTTAGAAAACTGAGCCATGACAGTAGTAAAGCAAAGAAAGAGCAGAAGAACAATACCAACAAACCAGATCAACTCCAATGGAGAGCTGAAGTGGGAGGCCATGGTGACCAGAGGAGAGCCTGGAGACATGAGGCATGCTTAGAGGCACCTGAGCCAGTCCAGGCCTAAATAGGGTCTTGGTCAGGGGGCTGAGTCTCAGGGAGTTTGAGAGTACATGACCCAAGACCGGCAGGTCCAGTAACCTATTGTCCAAGTCCCCACCCCTGCCTCTAGGAATTCAGGCATGCCCATTAGCTAGGAGGTGAGACTTCACCTTCATCAACAGGAAGAGAAGATGGCACCAGTTAAACCCAATTTCCTGTTATCCACCATGTGGCCATAATGCTGCCTGCTAGATCCAGTAGCCTTATTTCACTGTATAGTATATACAATATCTATGCCCTTAACTTCTAATCAAGCAGATACATTTTGTACACTTCTATTTTCTAATTCTAGTCCTGCTACTATTAGAAACTAATTTTTAATGTACTATGTTTAAGCAAAGTCATAAAAGCTGCCATTAAGTCTCCTCCTATTTCCCCTGCAGCCAGATGGCTGCAGAAGTGTAGCCCCTGGTTAGAAGGGCTGTAAAGCATAGGAGGAGCGCCCAGAGGAGGGTCTGGATTACTGACTGGTTCTGGGTACCTCTGCTGGTGATCCTTTAGTCTGAAATTGCATCCGAGTTAATAAGTCAGAATGTGCTTTGCCATGACAACCAGAATGTAGGTTCACCAGTGAAATTGTGAAACAAAAATTAGAGAACTAAACAGTGGAGGGTATATACATATATACATGTGTGTACATACATTTGCATATGTATGTATATATATGTGGGTGTATATGTATATAGTAGTTGGGTGCCAGTGGTTCAAGCTTATAATCCTAGCTACTAAGGAACCTGAGATCTGAGAATTGCAGTTTGAAGCTAGTTCAAGTGGGAAAGTCAGTGAGACTCATCTCCAGTTAACCACTAAAAGCTGGAAGTGGAGCTGTAGCTCAAGATAGAACACAAGCTTTGAGTGACAAACAAAACAAAACAAAACAAAACAACTAAGGTGTAGTGCCCAGGCCCTGAGCTCAAGCCACAATACTAGTACTAAATAAATAGAATAGAATAACAGAGACCAGAGAGTATCTTTTCCCCCTTTTCCTCAGCATCTATTAGCCAGCAAATGAGATTTCACCAGATACTGGATCTCTGGCACCTTCTGTGCCTTCAATTTCCCAGTCCCCAGAACTTCAAGCAAGAACTCCTGCTACTCCATCTGTGGGTAGACTGGAGTAAGATGGAAATCAAGAGGCAGAATCTGTGCACATGTACTCTAATCTGGACCCTTACTACTACTCAGAGAGAGAGTCAGTGTTTCTGCAGTATCCACATTCTCTAGAAACTCATTGAGTTAAGACTCTCCAATGCCCCCCAACCTTAAATTTCGATTTCAGCGTCTGACTTTAATAAAGACCCTAGAAAGCTTCTAGGTCTATGAGAGGTTCCTGAGTCTTGCAAATGTTGTCATAAGTCAGCATCACCTGAGCTGGAGAGAGCTTGTTAAAATGTGGCCAACTGGGTGGTAGGACCAGATTATCTGACTTGGTAGGTCTGGGGTAGGGTCCCTGGTAATGCTGGTGTTGCTTAGAATGGTGTCTAGGTGAGCTGCTACCCTACCCTCTACCCCAAGTGAGTGACATGTTGTTATGGACTCAGGTAGAAGAAATACAACTTCTCCATATTCTAAGGTAAATGGACCTGGATTCAGCCATCCAATCCAGTGGCTCTCAGAAGTCTCTCTTTCCTCATAGAGCCTTTGGGTGGTCTTTGAAAAATAAGCATTAAAAAAAAAAATCTCAGCCGGATTGCCACGTGAATCATTTAGTATCGTGCAAGCTTACTCTCAGCCTTTCACACATTTGAAGACCTCTCTTTGGAAGGACATAACTCATCCCCATACCCAGACAGTGGATGGCTCTAGGAACAGAGGAAGCTTTATGCAATAATCTTCTTAGGTGTACTCCACTTGAGTTTGTGCACTTTAGCCTAATCCCAGGCCCACTCTCGCCCTCTGCTGGTCATATTTGTGCATTGCACAGACTGCAACTCAAAACTACCGAAATCAACCCCACTTTCCTGCCACTGAGGACAGACAAGACAGCTCCATTGATGATCTGGGTCCACAGAGCGCCAGTCATTACCAGAGAGGAAGCAGGATGACATTCTAGCATCAGAGCTATATATGCATTGCAGATGGAGGTGAGCAAGCAAACACATAGTAACTGAAAAGAACAAACTCCTTTGGACTGTGTTCTTTGAAGATTGTGTGTGTGTGTGTGTGTGTGTGTGTGATTTTCTCTAAGATAGTGTCTGTTGGGCGGCGGGTGAGGGGCACGGACAGTAGCATTAGAATCTTAGGGAAGTTGTTGGAATTGTTCACAGCAGCTTTACCCTGGATCTATTGTTTTAGAAAACGATCTGACCATTCTGAAGCCTAGTAAAAATCTGCACAAAAATTCGCCTCTTTTGAGTTGTTTTTAACAAATGCATATGAGCATTGCGGAATAGATGCTATTTTGAGAAAAAGTGATGCACACAGGAGTAAGCACCATCCCTGGTGCCTCCACAGGCCCTTCCCCCACCCAACCCAATCGTAATAACTGGCACCTGTCACTGCAGCCTTTCCACCAATGGGTCGTAGGTTTCCCACTGCCCAGCAATCCCGTCAGAGTCTGAACAGTCCTTTCGAGGGCTGGCACTGATCTTCCTTGGGTTCAAGTTCCCAGGTTCCCAGGTTCCTTTCCAGGAGCTCATTCCAGCCTAATCCCAAGAGAAGCCACATCCTTCAAGCTAATAGCTCAACCCTGAATGGCAAAAATCTCTTCAGATCTTGGAGAAAGGAAGCCCAAGCCACAAAACACAAAGGCTCCCCTCCCCTCTCCTATCCCTGCCAGATAAAACCTTTTCTTCCAAGTTCCATCTTGAGCTCACTGGCTCCCAAAACAAGAGCTCCAAAGTTGGGTTGGCCTTCAGAGATAACCCCCATTGAGGAACATTGTCCCCCTGAGCTGGCTGTTGTATATGCGTATATGTGAAGTGGCAACGTGGTTTTCCTTGGCAGAGGGCAATTGCCAAAGGAGTTAGCTGGGAGCTTTCTACAGAGATACGCCAGCCATCAGGCAATAAAGAGCTCAACCTCAGCCTGGCACCAGTGGCACATACCTGTAATCCTAGCTACTTCAGGAGGCTAAGATTTGAATATGAGGTTCAAAACCAGCCTATGCAGGAAAGTCTGTTATTCTCTTTCCTCCAAAAATCCAGAAATCTCTACCAAAAAGCTAGAAGTGGATATGTGGTTCATGTGGTAGAGTAGTAGCCTTGAGCAAAAAAAAACTCAGGGACAATACCCAGGCCTTGAGTTCAAGACCCAGTACAGGGCTGGGAAGGTGGCTCAGTGGTAGAGCACTTGCCTTGCATGCATGAGGCCCTGGGTTCAATTTCTCAGCACCACATAAGCAAAAAAGAAAAAAAGCTGGAAGTGGCGCTGTGGCTCCAATGGTAGAGCACTAGCCTTGAGCTGAAGAGCTGAGGGACAGCACCCAGTCCCAGAGTTCAGGCCCCACGACCAGACGCCCCCCCAAAAAAAGATCCAGTACACACACACACACGTACACACACACACACACACACACACACACACACACACACCTCAGCCTGAGTGGTGTGCATCCACTCCAAAATTCAAGAATGATTTGTAGAATTCAGCATTCATTTATTGCAAATGAAAAAAAAAATCTCAGAGCTAGGTCTCTGTGCAGAGAATAAAAGGGGATGTGTTCTTCCACTGGCTTTAATCCTCATTCTGTATTTTTAATCAGCCTTCCAGGCTCTAGCCAACTGTACTGCATGCTTTTATGTCTAATGAGGGTTTTGGCTCTCTTCTGCCTCTTTGTCTTTGATACCATGTGTAGCCCATTAAGGAGGAGGCATCATGCTGCCTGTCCATTCTTAATCTTTTCTGCTTACCCCAGCTGCACAGATGCTAAAACTGACATCTGTTCTCTGTAATCTCAGACTTTCTCAACCCTGCCTTATGTAAGGTTGACCTAGTTTTCCAGGTCCACTCAAATTATCAGCAAATACATAACCATGATTCTATCCATGGGACTCCACGCTCAGTGATTTGTGGGCACCTGCATCCGACCCATGGCGCTTCCTCGGGGGCCCCTCCCTGGTCTTTCTCTACATCCAAATCCTTTTTTGAGTTTCAGCTTTGTACGGAGAGGTTTAATTCACTTGTACCATCATCAGAAGCTGCCTGTTCTCTCAGACTCTACCTGTCCTGAGGCATCTCCATCTGAGATCTCTCCCATCTGAAGGACATCATCTGGGCCATCTTTTTCATTCCAGACAGTGAAAGCCTGCTTCCTTTTGGACCACATCGCCCTCCTCTTCCAGTGGGACATCGTCTACCTATCTTGCTTGCTGTGGTCTTTCTCACAACCTGGATTCAGTGTCAGCTGAATTGCCCCCCCACATTTGTCCTCTTCTGTCCAGGATCTCCATTCCCCCAGGGGGGGGCTTTTCACTGCCCTTTATTGCTACTTCCCAACAGCCATGCTGCTCTCCCTCCTTTTGTCCTGCCTTTGTCACACAACTATGTCCCTCAGTGCTAGGTCAGTTTCTCCTCTTCTTTGGACGCATCTCTTTCTTCCACATCCTGGCGTGTCCCCCTCCTTAGATCTTCTCTAGCTGCATTACTTATAAGGGGAAGTTTCCTCGGCCTCTCACACAGTTGCCTGCTCTGAAGAATGAAAAAGATCACAAGTAGCACCAGGTAAAACCAAGTTTCCTACCTGGCCCCTCTTCTTTATGATTCTTTTCCCATGAATTGCTGTTAACTTTTTTCTTCATATTCTTGATGATGGAGTGAGATGAAATCTCAGTGGTTTTGTTGTTGTCATTGTGCTAGTCAGAGCCTCGGCTTTGTCGTTTTGCTTTTTTGCTCAAGGCTAGTGCTCTACCACTGCAGCCACAGTTCCACTTCCAGCTTTTTGGGAGTTCATTGGAAATAAGAATCATTACTGCCCAGTCAGGCTTCAAACCACAATCTTTAGATCTGAACCTCCTGAGCAGACAGGATTACAGGCAAGAACTACCTACACAAAATGTTGTTTTGATTTGCATTTCCTTTATACCCAGGGATGAGTGTTCTTCGTGTATCTATTGGCTCTCTTTACTTTTTTCTGGTAAGTGTCTATTTAGCTCCTTTGACCATTTGTTAATTAGGTTATTACACCTTGGGGGCTTGGTTTTATTTTTTTTTACCTCTTTCTATATTCTTGTTATTAGACCCTTGCCAGACATGTAGCTGGCAAAGCCAACCATTCATTGAGATAATAGTTTGTGCAACCTGGTTCCTGGATATGAAAACTGGACCCAAGAAGCCAAAAGATCAACAAAGAAGTACATGGCTCTGAGATCATTTATAGAGAACTTTTGGTGAACTGTGGTTCTGGGTGGCAGTAAGACTGGAAGCTTTCTGTCTTTCTGTTATTTGGGTCAGGGGAAGGGGCTTATAGAGAAGTCAAAGTTAAAATGACTTCCTCCAAACATGCTGGCTGAATGCCCTCAGAAGCCTTTCTTGGTGCTGATGCTACCTGAATCCAATCACAGACCTTGTTTACTTGTAGTATGCTGAGAAAAATATGCAGGAAGAATGTTATAGAAGTCAGGTAATGAGTACATTTCCTTTCGGACAATGTCACCCCTGCCCTCATTCTTCCCAGTTTTCCCCTTCCATCCTCACAGATCAGGCGGTGAAAACAGGTGCTTTACACAGCTTCCCATGCTGCTGGAAATGGATGTAGTCAAGGGCAGGCAAGGCCGGCCTCTGACCCCAAATCTGCCATTTATGTATTTGCCATATTAAACATTTCATTATCTGAGCTCCATATTAAAACTTTGTTCAAAGAGAAAAAATGGTGAGTGTTTCCTCTCATATGCAGAAGCTAGATCTACTATCCACTAGAAAATGGTAAATGATACAGGCACTCTTGACAGCCACACCCAGTAAGACCAAAGGGGGATACACCAAGGGAGGAGCACAAAGGTACAATGCCTATGTGCATTTGATCATCTAAAACAATATTTATGGAAATAAACTTCAGGAAATGGAAACAAGAGGTATTTGATTTCCTTTTCTTTTTGTTTTGTTTGTTCATTTATACGTCTTGTGGGGGGTAAGGAAGAGCACAGAAACAGAGGAATAAAGGATGAACGAATGCAACAGTGATAGTCACTAGATGCCATGTTGAAAATGAACTATATGCCAGGCACTGGTGGCTCATGCCTGTAATCCTAGCTACTCAGGAGGCTGAGATCTGAGGATTGTAGTTCAAAGTCAGCTGGGGCAGGAAAGTCTGTGAGACTCTTATCTTTGACTAACCACCAAAAAACCAGAAGTGGCACTGTAGTTCCAAGTGCTATAGTGTTAGCCTTGAGCAAAAGAATTCAGGGGCAGTGCCCAGACCCCAAGTTTAAGCCATACAATTGACAGAAAGAAAGAAAGAAAGAAAAAAAGAAAGAAAGAAAGAAAGAAAGAAAGAAAGAAAGAAAGAAAGAAAGAAAGGGAAGATGGAGGGAATGAAGGAAGGAGGGAGGGAAGGAAGGAAGGAAGGAAGGAAGGAAAAAGAAGGAAAGAAAAAGAAAAAAGAAAGAAATGGGGGAGATGGGAAGGCAGGGATGGTAAGGGGAAACAAAGGAGTAAGCAACAATGCTTGAAATGCTCATGTAATTGCAACCCCTCTGTACAGTATTTTCACAATAAAAATCTTATTAATTAAAAAAAAGAAAGGAAGAAAGAAAGAACGAAAAAAAGAAAAGGAAGAAAGAAAGGAAGGAAGGAAGGAAGAAAGAAAGGAAGGAAGGAAGAAAGAAAGAAAGAAAGAAAGGACGGAAGGAAGGAAGGAAAATGAACTATACAACTTGTGGAGATGGAAGGGGAAAACTGGGAAGAATGAGAAGGGGTGATATTGTCCAAAAGGAAATGTACTCATTACCTGACTTCTATAACTGTAACCCCCTTGTATATCACCTTTATAATAACAACTTTAAAAAGAGCATGCTATGGGTTGGGTATTAATGGCTCATGTCTATAATCCTAGCTATACAGGAGGTTGAGATCTGAGGATCACAGTTTAAAGCCAGCCAGATAGAACAGTCTACAAGATCTTTATCTCCGATTAACCATCAAAAAGCCAGAAGTGGAGCTGTAACTCAAGTGATAGAACATCATCCTTCATTGGGAAAAAGCCAAGTGAGAATGTGAGGCTCTAAGTTCAAGTCCCTGTACTGGGGGGGGGGGGGGGGGGGGAAGCTTTGCTTATGGAATAATTTGCTTAGTGCAGTTTCCATCTGGAGTAGGATGCATTAGCTAAGAAGAGATGAATCAAAGCTAAGACTGTGACCAGGAAGTCCTTCATGACTGGTTCTGACATAGAGATTGCTGCTCTCAGTGATGGTGGAAAAGAAGGCCAGCTCTGTGACACTCACCCCCAGAGGCACCAGGATTCCTCCAGGAGTCCTGTCATTTGCAGCACAAATGACAAAAGTGACATCCAGGAAGAGGAAACCACTTCTCCCAAGTCTCTCCTGCATTATTATATTGGAGCAGCTGCTGGAATCCATGTCTACAAGGAATGACAGGCAGAACTCGCTTGTATAAGAGCACAAAGGCAGGGACACACACACACACACACACCACTCCTGCGGCTGCTACAAGGACACAGAAATGCTCCCGTGCAAATGTGCTCCGGAGACTGCTTTTGCTTCATTTCGTTATTAATAGTCTGACACCCAGACCCATTTTCTTCAGTTTCTTTCAAGAGAATACACAGCCATTGTGATGCTTCACGGGCCAATCAAGCCACCTTGCAATTATACAGCAATTTCCACAGAACAGCTGAAATAAATTTAAGTATTATCTTGTGCACCATAGTCATAAGAAAATGCTTCTCGATGATAGCAATTATAGAAATCTGCTACTGGGGTAAGATCCAAGATCTGAAGCCTTGCTGGGTGCCTGTAGCTTACATCTATAATCCTAAACTATGGAGGAGTCTGAGATTTGGAGGATCATGAGTTGAAGTCAGCCTCAGCAGAAGTCTTCAAGATTCCATCTCCAGAAAATATAGGAAAATGCCAAACTGGAGGCATGGCTCAAGGGGTAGAGCACCAAACAGACAAATGAGAATACAAGGTCCCAAGATCAAACCTTAATGACGGAAATATAAATAAATAAATAACCTGTTGCCAAAAACAAAGCAAGCTGCTCGCCTCACAGCTCCTTGGCTTGCAGGGGCAGATCTTTCTGGCACCATTGATTATTTGAGCTGCTGACTCCTTGAGGCTGTCTTAAACGGACCCTTACCACCCATAAACCCATAAACGTAGCTGCCCTCTGGCCTCACCCAGTTATGCTTGTCCTCTCTTTTCTTCTCCTTGAAAGTGTTATCTGTGGCCATCTTAATAGTAGCCCAAACCGAACACATCTTTTTAAAAACTCTGATTTGAAAACAGAATTTTTGTTCAAAGCTGATTAGCCTTCAAAAGCCCTATCAAGGGAAATGATTTGAATCACAGAATCCAATAGCCATCTGTGTGCTTTGCCCATGACAGAGGTGTGTGGTGGTGACAGGTGGAGGTGTGGCTGGCTTAGCAGGAAGCATGTCCCTGGGTGTTTAATACCACCCCACAGCCCAAACTCACCCTGCTGCGAGTAGTCTACAACTACAGCCTACAGCCCTACACAGATGGCCCAAAGCCAACGATCTTTCAAATTTACATGCTACATGATATACTTACAAATATGAGCACATTTGTTTGGGTGACCCTGAGAGGCCTGGAGGCAGGAAGTTGCCTGTAAAAGTCTGCAGGCCCTAGCTGGGTGCTGGTGGCTCATGCCTGCAATCCTAGCTAAGTTTGAAGCCAACCTGGGCAGGAAAGTCCATGAAACTCTGAACTCCAATAAATTACAAAAAAAAAAAAACCCAACAAACCAGAAGTGGAGCTGTGGCTCAAGTGGTAGAGCACTAACCTTGAAGAAAAAGAAGATCAAGAAGATCAGGGGCAGTGCTCAGGCCCTGAGTTCCAGTCCCAGTCTATTGGTCTTGATGATGTCTCTGACCAGAATTCAGGCAACAGAGATTTGAGGAGCTTTTGATTCCTACAGGAGCTTTGGACATCCATTCAGGAAATGTGGGAAATTAATGAGGACCCAGACGGAGAGCTAGGCTCCCAATAATTGTGCCTGTCTCAGAAAACCCTCATCTTAGCAACTCCTGCTGGAATGAGCATTGCTCTGAGAGTTTGTTTGAGCTTGATTGAATCTCACCACTCTGAGAGGAGAGCATCTCATTTTCTGAGGAAGAAACCATGCACAGACAGGTTAAGAAATTTTGCCCAAAGCCACACAGCTCAAAAGCTGTCGAGGTGAATCACTGTGCTAAACACATGTTTGATCTGGGAAGGATGGGGTTGGGAGGGAAAAGGGAAAGGGATAAAAAGGGGTGATCAAGATGCATTGTCCTCATAAACTGACATGCTGGATAATAACTCCTCTGACTCCTTTTTAAATTAAAACAATAATTTTTAGCAGAGCATCCATTTGATCTGGTTTTGGCACCATTGGAATTCAAAGCATGTTTCTCTAATCCTGCGCCCCCCCAACTCCAACTGAGCTTCCTGGCTGGCAAACAGAAGTGGGGGAATGTGTGCAGCTAAAAGAATCTAGGGGCAGAATTGAGGGTCATAAGGGAACTTTGTGAGATTAAGAAGAGGCTCTAGAAGTATCTAGAAAATTGTAGCAATCCTCTTCATTTCCATGGCTCTTGTTAGAACTACTTCCCCCATACAC